GTTGATGTAAAGGCAATCAGGATCTGTTTCCAGTTTTGATAACAGTTTAAGTTGTGATGCCCTTTCCCTAATGCAGGGTTAAATGTTGGCCTGCCCTGTAGCAAATGTAAATAAGAACACCTAATTTTTGTAAAAGAGTTTTGACTTGAGTATGGCTTTGTAGAGGGCACTTGTATTTCACTGATAACAGGGCGATTAAGGAGGAAGAGGCTTTAATGCTTCATTTGACATTATGTGAAATGTGTTGAAATATCTCTGGAAATAATAACTTACAAAAACAAAACAATATCAATTGGTTCCAAATTTACAAGCAGAGAGCTTTTAATGCAGCAGGGTGGTCAGGTAGCCTAATGGTTAAAGCGTTGGCTCGTCATGCCAAAGACCCGGGTTCGATTCCTGACATGGGTACAATGTGTGAAGCCCATTTCTGGTGTCCCCCGCCATGATATTGCTGGAATATTGCTAAAAGTGGCGTAAAACCATACCCACACACACACTCTCACTCACTCACACTTTATGCAGCATCGTTGATACATCCCAGTTAATATGTGATAGTGTTTTAACTGTGTGCAGGTTAAAACATGTTTTCAAGTGGTAGATGTGTTACCTTTCACCATTTGGACCAATCTGTACATGTCACAGCTATAAAGAGGAAAAAGAGTATTCGTAATTGTCCGTGAGGGACTTCAGAGCTTGTCCCTACAAGTGAGATAAACAATGTGGTTGGCTAGATGTTACACAGTGTAAACAACAAACAGATTACTAAGTGAGAATAAACAGGTGTATCACCTACTTCCAGGTTTGAAATACTGTACAAACAACCAAAACTTGCATGATGAGAAAATTAACAGAGAACAACCCTTTGTTTAAGTGAGTTTATTTTCTAAACCATGTTTCCGTGCCCGAGTGATCCCAGGTTCAACCAACCAGTCTTGTGATAATCATCTTAATTGATCGCAGCTATTTTACACACGCCATTGTCTCCTAACAACGTGAACAGGTAATTTCCCCCCAATCCTGCTAAAAATAAAGCCACGCACACGACGCGTCCCTGGAGTTGCCATGGCAACAGTGAATACCGTCACAGTCCCCAGCCCTTTGATCGAGTGAACTGCGATATTATTTGCTGTCCCACTTCGAGCACTGTGTGGCGAGGCAGCTGTGAGGTCACTGATTATCATAATAAATCCAAGCTCACTTACCTATGTCGGAGCATGTAGTGACATGCTGGCACTTGGCTACAGGCTGGGCAAGATTAGGCTTGTCACAGAAATACCGCACAGAAATTCTACCACTCCTGGCCTATGACATACTGTGATGAAGTAAATATAACATTTCTACTACTGATTTAAGCAGCAATTTTGAGGATTTGGCCATCTTATTCCGTCCAGAATGATAAAAGTGGAGCGTACGGGGTTCACAACATATCGGGTGAGTGTTGCACTGAGAACCAATCAGACAGCCAGTGTGTGTGCATGTAGTAACAAAGACGCTGAAACTGTAACCACACTAGTTTACGTGAATCAGGCTGCTTTACGACACACCTAGGTAGAGGTACCTGAAGACTTCCCCATGTTGTAGTTGTCAGTCATGTTAAGATGAAAGTCTGGGACAACATGTTGAACGTCACTTTATGTAGCCCTAATTCCATCCCTGTTTTAGTTGAGTGTAAATATTTCTACCTTTGGATAACAAAATGTGACTTAAGATTGTTGATCTGTAGATTTTCATAATCAGACTTGTGGTTGAAATACATTTTATCAGTTCTGTCGTGTTTACTGTACATCTAACGGACGTTGTAGTCAGGTTGGTCGGGGTAATGTGTCCAGTTTTGTTGTGAAATTTGTTCCTGGTAAATGGTTATCCTGATCTAGCTTTTTGTCAAGCTATCATTCCCACATTGTCAATATTCCTATTGACAAGTCAGTAGATTTCGTAAGAATCTGAATCGGAAGATTGTGTGCCGTCCCTTCTGTTGTTGTTGTGGTGAAGGGTATTGTTTTATTCCACTCTATAGTCTGTGTATTGTTTTATTCCACTCTATAGTCTGTGTATTGTTTTATTCCAATCTATAGTCTATAACTGATGAATATTGAATAACCAGTACATAACCATGGTGACGGAGCCTAGTATCCCCAGATAGCTGCTAGAATTATTAACCATGTTTGTGGTACTATTGATAACAAAGTTGTCCTTGATAAATGTTTAACTAGAGTCACAAACCACTTGCTCTCTTAGCACAAAGTTAAAGTCTTTGTCTGCCTCATCTCAAAGAGCCTGTACAAGCTGGCAGAACTAGGGTTCTTATCTTCATAATCAATTTTCCCAGGCCAGTCTCCCTGCATCTACCTGAAATCGTTAGGAAAAGCCGATGGCTAAATATAGTTCAATACCTGCATCGCCTGCGTAGAAACGCTTCATCAATTGTTTTGATCACAAGTTCTCCCTTCAGAAACATTTTGAATAATTGATTGCGGTTTCTTTTGAGTCAACTTGGAAAGAGTGTTTTCATGGTATTTCACATGAAAAGAAATTCATGACCTTTGTGCCGTTATAATGCTTCACAATCTGGGTATTGTGTGAGTAACAATAGGGCAATAGAAACTGCCTGGACTAAACCCTTGATCAGGGAAACTTGGGGCCTTATGCAATTACTGAAGGCTTTCAGTATTAGCCCAGTAATGATCTGTTATGGTCTAGGAGGACAAATGGGACATGTGTTTTAGATGTTGTAATTGGGGTCTTGTATTTATTTTAGAGCTACCTCCTGTATGTTGTCCATAGTATGGCCAGATGGGCAATCATGGACTGGAGAACAGATGATTATTTTGTGTTTCCAAGGCAACCGTCTTTAATAAAAAGATTAATGTAATTGGTCCTTTTGGGCTAGTCTTGAATCCTACTGGGTAATGTTTTAGATGGTGTGTGTGTGAGCTTGTTGACTTTATGGTCACAGCTGATGTGAACTTTAAACGTGTATGAAGCAGGAAAGCCATTTGGCCTATCTGCTCGTCATCTCCTTGTCATTGTCACAACCATGAATTTCAGCTGAAAAGTTCAGTCTAATCAGGCTCATTGTCGTATGTTGAAGGTCAGAGTGTTAATTTAGAAAAGTATCACATCATTGATACTATTATAATATATATTGTTTTATAATATTTGATTAAACCAAAATTAGAACGGTATGAAGGCTCTCACAAAGATAATATTTGTCACGGAAGATTTCGATGAGTGTTTACTACTATATGTCATTTTTTGCTATACACGAGTAAATTAAGACGTGGCAACTGTATTAACATTGAACTTTAAGAAATGAGAGCATATTTCATACCATATGTCATGGTTGTCATCATTGAAGATATATATACATTCATGAAATCAGCACTATATTTAGACCATGAGAACAGTGTTTGCTTACGTAAGGTCACAGGAGGACTAAAAAGTGTCTGTAGGTTTATTGACAGGACATTTCAACTAGCATGGATAATATATTAAGGGAAAACCCTTCACAAGCATTGCTCATTGCTTCCTTAGTCACCAGGTGGTACAGGTGGAGGAGGTCTCAGCTGATCCAAGGACTATTATTAGATATAAGCAACTAGATAGTAGGCCAGGTGTCAGGGTGACACAGTTGGAGTGGGTGTAACTTGCTGTGACGTGCTGTGTAGGTTATTACTGGAGCAGCACTGATGACAAGTTAATTGCGGTACTCAGTGAATGTCGTGAGGTGTGGCACATCGGTTAGATGATGATCTGACGTTGATGCTGTTGTAACCATGGTTACAGATTGACTTTGTACTAATGTTTTCATGTTAAACTTGAAGAAAATTATTTAGAAAAAAAAGTAAATGGTGTTTTTTTTTCTTATGGACATTAACAAGAACTGTGCTGGAATGTAGACACTTGCGAGTTCTTGTCATGGAGTTAAATGTTTGAGATTGGGGGTCGTACAAGTCGTACAAAAGCAGATACTCTCATGGCCCCTAATCAAATGTCTGACACTGCATGTAGGATATGCTGGTATCTTTTTTATGGGTGAAACGATACATTGCAAGGATGCTATACAGGATATGTCTTTTTCTGTGTCGATACAAGATGGTACATTTGCTAAAATACATTATTTACCACTCATACTACTTAATTACTTATTTGTCAGTCAAATATAGCAAAATGTGTTGTAATTAGCATTTCAAGTTCACTACTAAAAATAGCTGCTACAAACATGTGGCTACAGCTAGCTTTTCCTTTTAAACCTGCTCTGAAATATTTATGGGAAGAAGTTACAACGTGATTTGATGTAAATATGCGTATCGCGATACATATCATGACCTATGTATCATGATACATATTGTATCGTAACCTTGCTGTATCATTTCACCCCTAAACTTGTTTAGCAGTGATGAAAGTCTTGATTAGTTGGTGTTAGCTTGGTCTGATCATTAAGAGGCTCTTATGGGAGGAGTTCCTCACCAGGGCCCCGTTCCACAAAGCCATCTTAGCGCTAAGGTGATCGTAAGTCCCATACTTTAACACTGGCTTACGATAGTCGTAACACTAATATCGCTTTGTGGAACGGTGCCCTGGGACCAGGACCAGGACCTACTTGCACAAAGTAATCTTACCACTAAGATGATCCTAACTCCCATACTTCAACATAGGCTTAGCTCTAAAATCACTTTGTGCAAGTGGGCCCAGGAGTGAACTTTGCATATTGGTACTCAATCCTGAAGTTTGTTACAATATGGCTGAAATATTACCGATGTGACGTTAAACTTTAACTCACTCACTCAATCCTGAAGTGGGAAGTGCAACTTTAACCCCTAGTCCAAAGCCCAAAGAGTCTCATATGATTCTAATTGGCCTAAGCTCAGCTTACAATAGTCCCCTTACTATCACTAAGTTCTTAATTAAATGATGCTGAGGGCCGTCGTCGGTAGTAGTTTCAAAGTGTTGCCGTGTGTTTAAGACAGGATGGTAATGTTGTTGCGTCCTTGTTTCAGTTGAACCCTATCATCGCTCAAACAACCACTGCCTCTGGGATGAGCCCAGACTCTCAGACACAGATCATCGGCAGCTCAGCATCAAGTCCTTACCACGATGGAGTAAGTGCCAGCCTAATTGTTGTTTGTGATGGCTTCATGAGTGAGTGAGTTGGGTTTAACGCCGCTTTTAACAGTATTCCAGTTATATTGCGGCATGTCAGCTTAATGTGGGAGGAAAGCCCGAAGTGATGCAGGTCTCAGACGTTTACCACTTCGGTGAAACCCACGAGCACGGGTATGGTGCTGACAAACCTAGAAACATAATCGGGGCGAACCGGGATTCAAACCCACAATCATAGCTTTCTGGCGTGTCCAAGGGACGCAACTCTGCACAGCGAATCGCGGTGCCTTAGACGACTGGGCCACCCGTGCCCCCGATGGCTTCATGAGGCATGAGTAGAGAAATATAAAGACAAATAGTGCATCAACAGTGTCGAGAGTTGGGGGGCGGTCATGTAGCCTCGTGGTTAAAGCGTTCACTTGTAATGCCCAAGTCCTGGGTTCGATTTCCCACATGGGTACCATGTGTGAAGCTCATTTCTGGTGTTCCCCGCCGTGATATTGCTGGAATATTGCTAAAAGGGGCGTAATACAATACTCACTCACTCTGAGAGTTTGATTTCTGCATGTTGACGTGCATGAGAAAACTTTTTATTATTTTGTCACAATGGTCAGGTGTTTATCATTATTGTGCTTTTGTTTTGTAGGTTGTCACGTCACCCCCACCATACTCACCTCACACCAACATGCAGTCCCCATCCCCCACAGTGCCATCAAAGTAAGTACCAGCTCGGGGAGGTCAGGGAGCTTTGTTTTAGTTCATTCCATATAAGACAATGGCTGTTTAAGGTGGTAGCTTTGCTTGTGTCAAATTGGTCTTTGAAAATCAGTACTTCAGCACAGACACTGATGGCAAGATAATGTATGTATCATAAAACCTGAGTATCTTCAAAGATCAACACACATGTGGGGGACGTTGCCAATGATGGTGCATCTGTCAGAGATTATCTGTACCTGTCGGAGATCATCTGTAACTGACGGAGATTATCTGTAACTGTCGGAGATCATCTGTAACTGTCGGAGATTATCTGTAACTGTCGGAGATCATCTGTAACTGTCGGAGATCATCTGTAACTGTCGGAGATTATATGTAACTGTCGGAGATCATCTGTAACTGTCGGAGATTATCTGTAACTGTCGGAGGTCACCTGTACCTGTCGGAGATTATCTGTAACTGTCGTAGATTATCTGTAACTGTCGGAGATTATCTGTAACTGTCGGAGATTATCTGTAACTGTCGGAGATTATCTGTACCTGTCGGAGATCATCTGTAACTGTCGGAGATTATCTGTAACTGTCGGAGATCATCTGTAACTGTCGGAGATCATCTGTAACTGTCGGAGATTATCTGTAACTGTCGGAGGTCACCTGTACCTGTCGGAGATTATCTGTAACTGTCGGAGATTATCTGTAACTGTCGGAGATTATCTGTACCTGTCGGAGATCGTCTGTAACTGTCGGAGATTATCTGTAACTGTCGGAGATCGTCTGTACCTGTCGGAGATTATCTGTAACTGTCGGAGATCATCTGTAACTGTCGGAGATCATCTGCAAATGTCGGAGGACACCTGTAACTGTCGGAGATCATCTGTAACTGTCGGAGATCGTCTGTAACTGTCAGAGGTCACCACCCGACCTCTCACCTTGCTGCACCAACATACTTGTCTGTCGGCTTGAGTGTCTGCCTGGCACCTGGCCAGACTGAGTGTTTGTATTGTGACACAGTGTGCACCCTGCTGGATAACAGTCAACAAACATGCTTGTCATGGAGTGGCTCAGCCTTTCACACAGCGTGTAGGTCATGTGATAAAAATATCATCTTGATAGGGTTACATTGTCGTCAACTTGACTTCCATCAGACTGGGTTTGTGAAACATTATGCAAGCTAGTATTAATTAGTTTGTACAAAGTTGTTTGATTATTTCTGGTTTAAAATTATTCCAAATTATGTAACACATGCAACGTCTTTTCCAGTACAAACTACCCTGGTGACTTCAACTTTGAAATCAGTTTTGCTCAACCATCCAAAGAAACAAAATCCACCACATGGACGGTGAGTATTGATGAGGCATGAATCAGTTGGCCCCGTATCGCGTGGGGCCTCGAGTTCGTTTGAGCCAGAATAGAGTTCTTCCAACAAAATTGCCCCTGGATGAATTATTTGCTTTTTAGCCTGCAGCTGATTTCTTCATTTAAGATAAATGTATCCTCAAAACAAGATGTTTGCCTGTGTAGCAGCCATAATATTTCTTAGTTCTATGATGGGATTCGGATAGTTCTTTTGATCTGATGTCGGACGCCTTGTCCACATGACCAAAGAAATAAACCCCCATCCACAAGCAGATAGGTCATCTATCTGTCAGAACTAAATGGCTGAGACTTAAAATGATTATTGTTTCATCAAGTTTGTGTTATCCATCTAGATGCAGTTTTTAAAAAAAACATGGTTTTGTTGTTTTGCAGTACTCTGAATCCCTGAAGAAGCTGTATGTGAGAATGGCCACCACATGTCCGGTCCGATTCCGGGCACAGAGGACGCCCCCACCAGGAAGCATAATCCGTGCTATGCCCATTTTCATGAAGCCCGAGCACGTGCAAGAGGTTGTGAAACGCTGTCCGAATCATGCGACATCGAAGGAGCATAACGAAAGTCACCCTGCTCCCACTCATCTGGTGCGTTGTGAACACAAACTGGCAAGATACCATGAGGACAGTTACACAAATCGTCAGAGCGTCATCATCCCCCATGAGATACCGCAGGCGGGGTCAGAGTGGGTCACCAACCTCTTCCAGTTCATGTGCTTGGGGTCCTGTGTGGGGGGCCCCAACAGACGCCCCATACAGATCGTGTTCACTCTGGAGCAGGAAGGCAAGGTTCTGGGCAGACGGGCAGTCGAGGTCAGGATATGTGCCTGTCCAGGGAGGGATCGGAAAGCTGACGAAAAGGCAGCAATGCCACCTTCGTGTAAACAGTCCCCCAAAAAGGGTGAGTCATGTGACCGATTAGCAAGGACTATCCGTGTCTGAACTGATGGATCTGACACTTGGAGTCAGGGTGGTTACAATGGAAATCTAAGTTGCAAATAAATCATTAAGGAGGTGGTTGGTTGTTGTTTAACCCTGAACTCAATATTCAGCAATATGTATGCAGCCTGTAAATTACAGAGACCATCGTTCATTTTCAAAGAGGACACTTAAAATTAACATGTACCAGATGATCTTTTCTATAAATAATCCATGTTGTTCTTTGAAGGAGTTGCCATGGCATCTGTGGTACAGTAGACGTATGATTTATGTAATGTTCTCCGTGTTGCAGTGCCCCAGCTAACGAAACTTACAGTAGGAACAGAAATAACAGTGGCACAGGGAAAGAAGCGGAAGTTACAAGAGGACGATGCTTATTCGTTAACTGTGAGTACAACACCAACATTACTGTGTCGTCAAACAAACATTAGTCAGTGGTAGGTGTGGTGTGCGATAACAAAGTGCTAGATTTATGTTTGGATTGAAAATTGCTTGAGATCAGTTGCGGGAACTTGAAAAGTACTAATATTTGAAGGCAGAATGTATCGGTATTGAAATCAGTTTAATCAGAAGACAAAACAGTGTTACAATTGATGATAAATACCTGGAGTGAAGTTATAAATGAATGAAAGTAATAATTGTGGCAACTGTGTGAGTAAGCGTTAAATAAGATACTTGAAGTGCTGCATGTGTTCCAAGTTTCGGTACACGTCTGCATATCAGTTCACCAGCCATGTTGAATAATGCATGTTTGCTGTCTCAGTCAGTCAGTCAGTCAGTCAGTCAGTCAGTCAGTCAGTCAGTCAGTCAGTCAGTCAGTCAGTCAGTCAGTCAGTCAGTCAGTCAGTCAGTCAGTCAGTATTCTAGTGCAATGGCTAATGTGCAGGCCAACGTGCAGGCCAACATAATCCTTAGTTGTTTTTAGCTCTGACCACACAACTTGTTGTGCTTTGGTTAAACTCCTTATTATGTTACAGGTTCGAGGGAGAGAAAATTACGAAATTCTGTGCAAGATTCGGGACAGCTTAGAGCTGTCCTCCATGGTGCCCCAGCAGCAGGTTGAGCTGTACAGGAAGCAGCAAGGAGAAATCCAGAGACAGTACGTACCTTTCCCTCTTACCCAGGGCTGATGTAGGGAGGAGACAGTACTTACCTTTCCCTCTTACCCAGGGCTGATGTAGGGAGGAGACAGTACGTACCTTTCCCTCTTACAGGGCTGATGTAGGGAGGGAGACAGTACGTACCTTTCCCACTTACCCAGGGCTGATGTAGGGAGGAGACAGGACCTACCTTTCCCTCTCACCCAGGGCTGATGTAGGGAGGAGACAGTACCTACCTTTGCCTCAGGACTTGAGGAACCCACCCCCACTTTTTTGTTAGTAAATCATTTGAGCTATTGCCCATTACACAAAACAACCTCGGCTATGGTTAACCTTAACCACTAAGGTTAGAATTAAGGTTACCGTTGTCTCAAAAAACATACGCCCGCAAGTTTCACAAAGTAACCTGTCTTAATTCAGTGTGTCAATCTTAGTGCTCAGGTTGCAATGGTAAGGTGGTATGACATCGGCTGCTGAAATCATTATCCAGTATGCTGTTAAAACACAACAGTTTAGGATGTGTTTGCCTGTTTCCAACAGAAGTTTGTTTAGGCCAATAGTTTTTTAAGACCCATTTTCATAATCGTCAAATGTACTTTCTAAACACTTCTTCCACCACATTGTAACCTACATTTCTTAATAGCATGCCATCCATCTCTCACACACACGCACACACACACACACACACACATACACACTGTGTTGGCACACACACACACATATAGTCCTTGCTTCTCTTGCGGTGGTTGCACGTGAGTACATTGAGGAAAGGTTTATCAATATTGAATCAAGTTTTGCAGGTTTTCTTATAATCCGGTCCTGGAGAATGGCGATCAATCTTTGTCCTGCTCGAAGCATTTCTCATAATTGAAGCTTTCCTCGGTGATCACCGGCAGCCACCTGTTACCATAGCGATAGTCATGTGACACTAATGAGCGGTTCTGATTGGCTCCAGGTGGCTGTCGATGGTCTTGCCTCAGGAAAATAAAAACAAGCACTCCCTGAAGAAGAAGAAGTTGCTCCACAAACCAGGGAGGATGATAAAGATGAAACGATGATCGCCATTCTCTACAGACTCGTTACGATTTAGCCATGTCAAATTGACTCAAAATGAAATAGAACATCAAAAACATTTTCAATCATGTTTCAAAAAAAATAATCTTATCATACAAGTTACTACTGAACGAATGTTTAAGAAGAATTTTAGAAATAATAAGTGTTCCCAGACTGTTTCCTGGATCCGAGCCACATTTTGGATCTATCAGGATTCCGTAACTCCACAATGACACTTTTGGCTCTACTTGGTTTGGAACTCTGAAGATGGTTGTTGTATTTAAGGATCTAATTTTATCAATGCAATGTCATGTATCATTTTGTGATAATTGATAGGAAATACGGACGTCATGTTGTGTGATGAACTTTAATGGGGTGATTGTTAAATGTGGATGGGTTCCAGGTCATGTATTTCTTCATAGAGTAATGTTCTTCCAACCATTCATTGACCCTGAAGTCACATAGCCAGTATTTTCTCATAATAGTCATGCATATATATGTATTTAGTTAAAATGCATCATCAAGCCCCAGATTACTCTCAGATCTGTTGCTATGACGATTTACATCTTTTCTGTAATTCCCTTCCATTAACAGATGCGGGATGTGAATGTTTCATATCTTTGATTTAGCATCAGATTTTGACATTCCTAAATCATACTGTCTGTAGTTTGTCATTGATGTCACATCATTCATTGAGGAGTGCTATATTTATTGTCACTATGCACACCACGTGTTAGCATTTGAACATGTGTATATCATAAACGTCTGTGTTTGTTTCTGTTTGTGTTCTGTCAAAGATTGACAAGTCAAAACATTCCGTCCAGTTTTGCATTGCCATGTGTTACTTTGTTGTGGCTGTCAGACATTTTAAACTTGATATTACTCTGTAGAAACGTCCAGATGATAAATGTCATCTACAGAATTATTGAATCCAATAACAATACGTTGTTACTCTTTCTGAATTAATTTTCTTCAGATAAAAACAACTTAAATCATTTTGTTCCTGTTGGAATATATTTATTGACATTCCTCCCAAAGGGAATTGATGATAACATGATCAAGTGCTTCGTCATGATCTTGTTTACTTCTACCTTCTATTTATTTTCATTTGACTTTTGAGATGGAGTTTTATATTTTTTAGATATCTCTAGTTGTACATAGAACACCTTTACCGTATTTATTTCTACTATGTGTCACGTTCAAGCTTTTGCATCCATGAAGTCGAAGTGTTTATATTTCACCCTTGTGATTGTCATTGTCTAAACAGGTTCACATATCAAACCCTAACGTTATTTCTGGCATCTTATCCAAATTGTACTTAAAAGCCAAACTCGTAAGAGGCAACTAAGGGGATAGGGTTGTCAGGCTCGCTGACTTGGTTGATGAATGTCATCGTATCCCATTTGATGCTCATGATGTTAATCACTGGATTGCCTTGTCCAGACTCGATTATTTACAGACCGACGTCATATAGCTGGAATATTGCTGCATGCAGCAAACAAACAAATAAAAGCCAAACATTTTTATTAAACCTTCATTCCACATATTATTGGACATTCTCATCAAGTCTCTATAAGAAGTATGTTTACAAAAAAGTGCAAGGTTGTTTTGAGTGATTTTCAAATTTTTGAAATCTTATTTTGTTTTCGATGTTAGAACTACCTAGCTTTACATGCCATGATTGATCTTATTTTATGCCATATATATTTATGTTATTTTTGTAGTCTGTGATAAATTCCTTTGATGTATCATATTGTTATTTATTTATTTAAGAGTAATTCTGAAAATTTACCTTCAGTAATATAAAAAATACTTTCTTGTAGATAGTAAGCTAAATATTCTGTCCCGTCATCTCAAAACATACAGGCACAAGCTCCTCACTGTGATAGCCTGTTCGCGGAGCTCACGATACTATCGGTGCCACCAATCAAGCTACCCCTTGTGATAGATGGCAACAGCTATGCTTGGAGTTGAACTCACAACCGACTGACCGCTATGTTTACAAACAAGTGATTACTGCGGTGACGCCGAATACTCTTACCCTTGCTAAATTATTTTCTTTGATTTTCATTACAACTGTCATGTAATTGATAAAAGAAGAATGTCGGGGGAAGTTGGTTGATTCTCATTTGTCTGCAATCTCAAACCAATCCGATCAAACAAAGCAAAAGTCAACTTCATCAGGGAAATATGGTCAGTCATAAATCTGTTAAAAAATAACTGTGATGGCATTCCCAAAGACATCAACAAAAGTATAAATGTTACTACATTTGGGTTGGAGGACAATTTCAAGGTTCTTGTAATGGCCGTGCCCACACTGGTGTTAGCGATGTTACACAGAGTGTAACGAAGGTGTTGCGCGATAGGTAGGAGCTTGATTCAAGCAGCCTAAAGGGAGATAACATGGCTGACATGGCTCTTTGGTCATTGTGTTTGTGCCTTTGACTGAGAATGGCCAACCCCACCGTGGTCAGGTCTACTTGATTTGAACTGATATGAGGATCAATAGAGGTTTTAATGTTTTGTTTTACATTATTAAATGTAATGTTAATATGCAAAGTTAGATTAACTCTGAACTTAAGAAAATAGGATGTTAAAATTTAAGAACTCCCAAATTTTGAAAAAAAACACATTTTCAATTTGCTTGCAAAAGGGTGGTAGTTTGGAATTTTTGGTACGCCCCTAAGCATCAGATCACTGAAACATCTTATTTGACATCCAATCTAAGTACATCTACACAGTTGTGCCTTCCCGTCAGATCTATTGAGGTCATAGCGTGCGAAGTCAGAAATTTGATGCCATTCTTTACGCAGTGCGGGGCGGTTGGGTAGCCCAGTGGTTAAAGCGTTCGCTCGATACATGCCAAAGACCCGGGTTCGATTCATGACATGAAAACAATGTGTGAAGCCCATTTCTGGTGTCCCCCGCCGTGATATTGCTGGAATATTGCTAAAAGCGGTGTTAAACCTCACTCACTCACTCACCCACTCCCTTTACTCAGTGCATAATGTGCAAATGGTTAAGTGATTCTGTGCATTGGATGAGAGTTTGAGGTACTTGCATATTTTGTGGGATGGTACTTTGTGATATCGTTTGTGATCTGTGTGCGGCAGATCATGGGGCTTCTCTTCACCATCCTGCCTTACATCCAGTTAACTCGGACAGTTTGTTGTTAACAAATATTAATCATTGACGTAATATTCATTGTTGATCACCTTAGTATGTATGTAGAGTATTTATAACAAAATTCACTGCCAATAAAATTAATAACAGAACTTGCTAATTTGTCTTCTTGATGGGTGGCCCAGTTACCTGTTGTGTCACAGTTCACTGTGGCATCCCCTTTATGAGCCAGAAACCAATCATCAGGGTTCGAATCTCAGATTTGCCCTGTTTCCAAGCCTGTCTGCACCATTCCTGGGCTCATGGCTTTCACCCAAGTGGTATTTTTCAAAGACGTGCATCACATCGACTTCCCTCACGTGTAAAGTTTTAGTCCACTGGTCTTTATCATCACATATAGCTTAACCCTTAAAAAGGGCAAATTTCTACAAGTCCTTCTGATACCTTAACTATCTGGCAGCTAGGTAAGGACTATAGGAGTAGTGCCAATTTCTAAGCTGCCATGCAACTGAAGTAATGTCCAAAGCAGTGTTAAACCAAATTCACTATCACATTTGGACCCCCTCACCTGGGGGGCACGGGTGACCCAGTCGTCTAAGGCGCCGCGATTCGCTGTGGAGTGTTGCGTCCCTTGGGCATGCCAGAAATGATTGTGGGTTTGAATCCCGGTTTGCCCCGATAATGTTTCTAGGTTTGTCAGCACCATACCCATGCTCATGGGTTTCACCGAAGTGGTAAACATTTGAGACCTGCATCACTTCGGGCTTTCCTCCTACATTAAGCTGACATGCCGTGATATAACTGGAATACTGTTAACAGCGGCATTAAACATAACTCACTTGCTCACTCACCTCCCCTGGACAAGATGCAGTAGCTCTACTCCCAGTATTACCTGGTTCCACCTGAAATATTAAACATTCATATCTCCAAAGAGGGTCAATTGTCCCCAAAACACGATCAGAAATTGCCTGGATATCGTTTCATATGGAACCACTGGATGTGCCCCCAACACAAAGATTTTAGTTTGACTTGTGTAATCTGAGGTCCATATCACAAACCTTTGAAATAAACATATCTGGTTTAATGTGTTCATACAGGTCATTAATTTGAAAATAAATTTTAATAACATTTTGAGGCTGAAATGTTTTTGGTAATGGATAAAAGTCAAGCGTCACAGCCCAATTTATTGTTTGTCTGGCTCACATCGAAGAAATCCCCAAGTTGTCCTGTTTACTACAGACATCCTAATGTTTAACAGATGCGCTTTGTGTAGGCGAGGTCTCACACTCGTATGTTATTGTTCGGACTCGGATAAACCAGCTGGAAGCATGATCATGATGAATAGATCGCACTACGCACTACAATATTCCACACACATTCATTAAACGTATCAAAGGCCCCTCACTTCATGTGTGTACATAACAATATTAGTTGTAGGCCTGGTAGTATCCACGACATGACTATTTGAATTCAACCCAAACAGATTATGATTCTTGGTCTGTCAGCTCATCAAACCTTGTGTTTAAACTGGTAGATATCTTGTCTGGCATCACCTTGTGGCTTTCCACCTACCTTCGTCGGACATGCCATATAACTGTTATATTGTGTTGTTCCAATTCATTCTGTCTCCTCAAAAAGATATTATATTGTTTTTGGCTCTGCTCCTGTCTGCATTGACGTCAGCTTCTATTCCAAGCCAAAACTTGAAAACCGTACACATGAGATATGCATTTCTGGTGCCTTTTGCTATTTTTCAATTTTTCAATGTTTATGTTTCCATGGAAACAATTTCATTCTCATTGAATCCATCGATTTGTTTCCAGACCAAGCCAACCTCACATCATGTCCATCCCCAGCAACGAACGCATCGCTCAGCCGGCCGAGACGGCGCACCAAGCCAGCCTCCCGTTCAGCCCCGACTCCAGCAACGTGAGCAGCTCCCAGACCAGTCAGGTGAACGGAGACACTCTGCCCGCCGCGCTGGAGGCCGTCATCAACCAGGCTGCCGTCAAGGAGGAAGTTGTTGGCAATGGACAGACCATGTTGGACAACACTGTTGCTGCGTTAGTATTACATCTCTTTATGACGGGGGACCCGTGAAGGTCTGGGGTAGAATAGGTCTTCAGCAACCCATGCTTGCCGTAAAAGAGGCGACTAACGGGATCGGGTGTTCAGGCTCGCTGACTTTGTTGGTGCGTGTCATGGAATCCCAATTGCATGCTCATGATGCGGCGTTAAACAACAACAACAACAAAAACTTCATGACAGGACAGGGGGGTGGCTTGGCAGTTAAGACAATTACCAGGGTCCGATAGGTTCTGGGGTCAAGAATGCGATCTAACTGCATGCCGCCATGTTGTTTTAAATTTGTCGATTTTGTTTTGCGATTTTGATTGGACTATGTATAGACTAGTAAGTCCTGCCAATATATGACTCCAACATTCCAGCCAAGTTCAGCAAGGCTGGAAACTGGACTTGTATAGCCAGTGAACCCCCTTGCCTCAGGAACATGGGCAGGATCCTTGTGTTGTATTGTATTGTGTATTGTGTTGTATTCCACTGCAGTATACCAGTATATCAAATAGCAGCTAATTCAGTTCTAGGTAAATAGTGTGCATGTTTATAATGCGCCAAATCCACACCAAAAGTCATGAACAAAGCGTTATATTATTACCCCGATCAAGGAATCAGAGTGCTCTTGATTGGCATTCTCAACTCCTTGGGGAGTATACAACCCAAACAAGAGTTTAATCTTCATCTTTTTTAAGATAATCTTTGTGTTTTAATTGACAATTTGCTTCTCTTTCAGTTGGTTGAATTCAATTGGTCTCTCGGCATATATTGACAATTTCCACGAAAAGAACTTCTTGAATATGTTCCAGTTGGATGAATTCTCTCTTGAGGTAAAATATTTCATGAATATGCTTTTTTGCTTCACTCATCTAGCTGCAAGTTTGGTGTAACTGAAATACGGTTGGTATGTTTGCTTGTGGTACAAGGAGGCCATGAAGTACATCCTTTGTGGGCCACAATTGGTGACTTGGTGGAGTCCAATGCTCATAATATCAACCACTTGTTTATCTGGTCCAGAATGGATTATTATTTGCAGGCCACAGTCTGGTAGGAATAGTGCTGAATGTTGTGTGAATTAAGTAGAACTCTCTCATTCTCTCTGCTGTCATAGGGGCGGTCAGGTAGCCTAGTGGTTAGAGCGTTGGCACGCCACGCCGGAGACCTGGGTTCGATTCCTGACATGGGTACAATGTGTGAAGCCCATTTTTGGTGTCCCCCGCTGTGATATTGCTAGAATATTGCTAAAAGCGGCGTAAAACCATACTCACTCACTCTGCTGTCATGACCCTGAAGATTGAAGGGTTCCTTGTTTCAAATGTCCCTAGGTTTAGATAGGATTGCTAAAAAAACTTGTAAATTCTCCAGGACCTCCCTTACCTCGAACTCTCTCCAAACGCCGCTTTATCCTAGTCAAGCAGTTAATAACCCAATCATGTTGATTCTCTCAGGATTTGTCAGCCATGAAGATTGGGACGAGCCATCGCAACAAGATCTGGAAATCCTTGGTGGAATACAAGCAGGCAAATGCCTACACCTCCGAAGTCTCACAGTCACTTGCACGCAACGCCAGTAGCACGTCCACAATCAGCCTCTCCTCCCAGCCTAGCATCTCCCAGAACAGCGCATACTGCCCAGGCTACTACGAAGTCACACGCTACACATTCAAACACACAATATCAATCACAAAGGACGACGTGAAGAAGTTGAGAACGGAAAAGCCAGAATGAACAAACATTTGGCTTTCACACGAACATTTCTAAAGGTGCAAACAAATTTTCTAAAGTGCATTTACCTTTCATTATGGCTAATTGATCATGTTTATCACTGCTGATATAGACATCTTCCAGTTTGTGTGGCAATCGTTGAACGAAGTGTGCTTATCATTAAATATTACATTTATACATTCCAGTTTTTCCCGTGTTGATGTTTTCTGTGTGTTTTACCCAATGAGTCCATCTTATAAAGATGGGCTCAACTATTTGTAGTTATGTTGCATCGGACAAATCTTGTAACTGAAGTTCAGAAGCATGTTACCATTTCCATGGTTTATATCAAGACTTGAAAATCGTGTTATGCTGAAAAATGAAATTATAGTCATTAATTTTTTAAATTGCTCGTTCAAAGATCAGGTTGAGATTAATTTTAGCTATTGGGCCAAACAATGTGTGTATTAAAGATCATATGAAACTCAGCTGACATTTAACAAGCAAGTTGTGACAGGTTCATTTTTCAGCAGTCACATGTCAGACCAATATTACGTACATATTATGGCCAAATATTTAAGCCTCTAATTTGTTGACCATGAAGTCTAAAATGTTTTTGGGGTCTGTAGCCAGAGTAGCTATTTAACAGTGATTGTTTAATCTAACCATAAATGGTTTTCATGTTTAGGGCCAAGGTAAAACTTAGAAATGGTTGAACAAATATCAAGTCGTCATGGAATCCTCAGGTTTGTCAGGTGTCAAGTGTGTTTCCCTACCAGCATGCATTGCTCAGGGGAGGTAACTCCAACTCAAATCCAAATGTCTAGCGCTCCGTCCATTTTGTAATGGCTGTTAATTTATGTTGGTAAGATTTTTCTGTTATTATGTCTTGAAGACAAATATTTCATTATAGAGAACAGCATTGTATAGTAGTTCGAAAAGACTGTCATATTTGCAAACTCAATATTGGTTTTAGGGAAATTTTAAACAAATCACCATGTAAACGAACTGCAAAATGTTTGAAAGGATATATGTCAAAGGCTTATTCCCTAACACCAATATTGCATTGAACTAGTTCATATATCTTTACATTCCATTTATTACATTCTTTAGGGACATACCAAATCTACCTTAATTTGAAACAGGAAATACTGTTTATCAAGACTATTTTCCTCTTTAATGTGAAACCAAACCAGGTTTGTTCTCTGCTCCCTGTTTCGTAAAGTTTTCTACAATTTTGAAGCTAATATAATCCAAATGTATTAATCAATTTCTATTGATCAAGTTTACAGAGTAAATAGGATGGTATGTTTCTAATGTAAATATGGGGTGTTCTGCATAGTTACACCTCGTCATACTCATTGTTTTGGTGAACAAACACTTGTTAATACTATCTTCAATAGGACAAATATGCAAGGAAAACTATTTCCAAAACTATTATTTTGGCAAATAACCATGTATATTTATACTGCTTATAAATGTAGTCAGACAATTTTTAAATGGTATTATTTTTGTCGTGATTTTAGGAGCTTTATACTGGCTACCACTGCTTTTGATTAAGATATAAGTATTGTTTTGTTTGCCTTGGTTTGATAAAATAGTGGCAGAAAGGATGATCTCTGTTGATGTTGATGGCATATCTAGTGCATTAATGTATTCAGATTTGTTTGAAATTTATATAGATATTTTGTCAATGTGACTGGCTATTTAAACATCGCTATTCAAGAGAAATGGTTTGATGTGCTGCTTAAATTTTCCTTTGTTTTTCTTTTCTGCAAATGGCATATTGTCACCGATAGTCTTTTTTGACAATATTATTACGTATTTATCAAGTGTTAGTTCAGAATGGTCACAATTTCATGTCATTTTCATGTGGGTTTGTGCATAATTTGAGCGGAATGCTCTGTGTTGAAAAGTGTTCATAGAGAAGGCAGTTGAAGTCAGCCTTCTCAATTGTTCATGACAGTAGTTGAAAGGAAAACAGTATATGCATAATGACTATATTCAATGTGTGAGATGTTTATTATTTTGTTAATTGGATTTCTTAAAGACAGATTTCCAACGGTGCGATACTTAATTTTGTTGTTCATTGTTCCTAAATACCTTCCCAATCATGCTGCATGTCTTCATCATTGATATGATGTGTCATCAGTGAAAATATCGTTCAATAGCAAAATGTTATATATTAAATAGTGACTTCATTGGTGCATTTTTCAGCTGGTGTATGAAAATCCAATAAGTTTTTTCTTTGGGAAACATGTTTTATAAATAACATTAAAATGTGCAATGTCAAGAATTTCAAAGTAAATTGGGGCAAATGCTGCTGTGTGTGGTTTGTTCCAAGTTGGTTCTCTTTACTGTACAGAATATGTAGTGTTTTACAGTGCCTGTTACTCGCAGCATTTGAAGTGCTGGAAGGGAGGCGACTCTATGATGTTGGCCGTCACATTTTAAGAGTTAGCTCCCCTTACATAATGTGTTGACTCTTATTGCCCAGACCTATGGGGGTTTCGTACTGAAACTCATTGAAGTTGTCAGGAAAGAAAACAACTTTATAAGACCTTTGAAACTTAGTTTCAGAAACATTTAATCTGTGTGTGTGGTTTTATCAAATGGTGAAAATGTCTTTGACAGGAATTTCTAATTTTTGGGAAAAGACAAAAATATGTTGTGATATGACAGGACTACTGAGATCACACACCCTCTGGCTCACTCACTCACTCACTCACTCACTCACTCACTCACTCACTCACAGATTGGTTTGTGGAGTGGGGTGCCCTGTCTTGTGGTCAAGTGGTCAAGGTGTTGACTTGGCACACAGAAGACTCAGGTTCCATTCCCCACTTTCGGTTCAATGAGTGTGTGAAGAACCCTAACCAAATCTGCTGCAATATTGCTGAAAGTGGTGACATACAGATGGACTAACTTTCGAACAACAAAACTTTTCTTAGCAGTAAAACTTCGATCAAAACCTAACATCATGTTCTTTTGACATGGCATGCCTTCCATTCATGCTTCCATCAACTACCGACTCTTAACCATATTATCTCGAACAAATTCAGCTTCATTGATCTTTGGACAAGATCCTTTTGTTGCCCTCATCATTCGTATACAAAAGGCAAGGCATCAAGGCAGTACATTCTCATGCCTTTCTAACATGGTGGGTATTGGTGCTGAGTCCATCACCAAAGATCACAAATGTTGAGCATCCCATGTAAGGGGAGATAACCCTGGTGGTTTTGTTTCATAAATTGAGTGCCGTGTATATAGTGTTGGAACTGATGAAAGCTGGAGCGTCCTGTACATCGTTAGAAATCATCTATTTAATATTTTCTACATTATTTATGCGTGATGTGTTTGTTTACTTAGTGAGTGACATCTCAACAATAATGGTTTAGCTTGTCTGCCAACACAAGGGGTTATTCGCGGGATTTTCTTGTCAACATATAAGGCCATTTTTTACTTTATCTTTTAATATGTATACATATAATCAGGGTATGAAACTCCCCAAAAATTCAGCCAGACCACAGGACTGGCTAGCTGAAATACTTGCCAGCCCTGACCAAAACCTGCCTGCTCACTATAATCATGTTTCTCAGGATAATTTAATTAAAAATATGAAAACTGATTGCTTGTAGCATAAGCGCATCGCTAAATGTTAGGTTGTCTAAAAGCTAACAGGGTTTTTTTTTGGTTACATTTTATCATTCATCTTTTCATGTGAATTAATGCTTATCATCGAGAAATATTTAGAATATTTTCACCTATGAAATATAACCCGACCGTCGGGCAGGGGGATTTGATAATCTGACAGCCCGAGTTGAAATCAACCCGTCTCGGACGGTCGGGCAGGCAGGTATTTCGAACGCTGATATAATTCAGTTATCCATATTTTCATTTACATTTTTATTTTATACATTTTTTAAGAAATGTTAATGCAGCGAAAAAGTTGACATGTTTTTTAAGAGGGTAGTTTCTGGATGTATTGGTCCATGAATTTAAGGGGTTATTTAAACATCAGGACTTCAGAAAAGAGTTTTGTAAGATATGGCTTTGGGGAATGTTATTATTATTAATATTGGGTTTGCATCCCCACAAATAATGAGTATTATCAGCACTCTCTCAACCCCTTCTGTTGGTACACTGTTAATGTTCATCGGATGCAAGCCTACTGGCAACTCTCATATTGTCATGGTAATTTTGACCTTGCCTATTTGGCTGAAAAACTGTTGATGAAGTGGAAATCAAAATGGTCTTTGATCTTGTACTCTTTTGATAGAAATTGCAGTACAGCTTCAGAGGGCTTCAAGTACCCTTGACTTTTGTCAAAGGGGCTTGCATCAGAGAGTTAGCATTAAGTAAATATGTCATCAAATATAACGTTACTTTCAAACATTTGGAAGCATTTGTCAACATTTATCAAACATTTGCTGTCTGGTTCTTCCAGATTCCTCCAAAATATTGAATCTGAATTGCATTTGAATGATATGAGGATTTTATAAATCAGCATATGTTACTGCCATTCTTTCACAAAATGTTGAAAACATGAAGTCTCATTGCTTGTCAAGTGATTTTTCATCATTCTTGCAGTCGTAAAACTCATCACAGGTCATCAGTAGTAACTGCCAAAATTCATTGTTCCATCTAGAACGTTTGTAATTGTGTGAAATCATCAAGAGAAGTAGCGTCACAGAAAATTGCATTTACTTTTCCAGTGTAAAGATCATACCTGTTGAAACTGCCAATGTTCTTTTTGTTTGGGAAGATAGTTCTCTTGTGTTTAATTTGATGACATATTTCTGTTTGAAGTGTTGACTGTATGTCACTGCATGTGTGGCTTATCATCTGAAAGACATTATGTGTTCAACTGTGAAATCTGACACCACCTTATATTTCACTATCCACCAAGCTTGTATTAACAACTTCATACCATTATTTTAGAATAAAATTCATTTCAAAGAAAAATTATTTCTTTTTCTTTTTGATGATGCCATCATAAGGCGGAGAAGACAGACTTAGTTCACAGTGCAGCGGCATTAACCCAACTCACTCACTCAATATCGAGGAGCTGCTGGTTAATAGAGACTGATACAGCACAATCTTTACTATTTAAGTTATCATAGAAATGTGACCTCGGTGCTTTTCACCACAGAGATGACTACAACGGGTTCCCTTAAAGAAATGGCAGCGATAAACAAACATTTTTGTCCATAAGTCCTTATATTATAATAGGCTTTTGAGCAAAACCTTTCACAAGGATAAAAATCATACTAGTCCTGAGGATACTTCAGCTACTCGGCAGTTTGGCAAGGACTACAGTAGGCCTACTGGTGCCAATTTCTAACGCTGAAAGGTAATCGTAATCGACAGCTGAGCCGGTCGGTCAATGGCGCCACATGCTATTCCATGTACAGCCGCCCACCTTGGGCATGCCCGAAACCTTTGATCGTTTGTTCGATGTCCAGATTATCACTGATTATGTTTCTAGGTTTCAGGGATGTGAAATCTTCGCGGAAACGCGGAAAATCGCGTTTTTTAAAACAGTAGTCCTCGGAAAAAAATCATCTTCCGCGTAAAATTTAAATAAAAAATTTGAAAAAAACTTTCGAAAAATATTATCGAAAACCGGACAACCATAGCGAATTGTTCCGTTTTCGATCAGAGCTTTCACCAGCATAGGTTTTCGGACATCATACGTTTTCTATCACGAATACTTGCACTATAACGTGGGGTGTGGCGTCACACAGAAATTGTAAATACTCAGAGTCAGCTGATGGCTTGTTTTTAAGATAAAGTTGTCTTTTAGCCTGTAAGTGAATGAGATGTTTTACAGTTGTTCATGGGATTAGCGAGAAAACTATGAATGTTGCTTCAGCGTCCAAAACCCCATAACATGGGGATATATGTTGTATTAATGTCTTATGTTTGCAATGGAGTTTTGGTTTTTTTTCATCAAAAGGTAAGTACAAGGTAAGTTGTTTTTTTCAACATGCTTCAACATGGGGAAAGGGTCAGACATTGCACGCTTGTGACAGTTGTCCTTGTGTCTGGGGGATGGGGGTTGAAGTTTATGGCAGTATTGCCCCCAGACCTGGCGGGTAGCCAGGGGCGCGAAAGCTATGCCCGATTTTTTAAAAGTACTGATTTAACTTCGAAATTTTACTGTATCTGCCATCTTGTTTATTTGACTTTGATTTTTGCCATTGACTTATTACATTTCTTGGTGTGAATGTTGTCCAAACTGCACGAAATTGCTTAAAATGCAATCAAATGTTTAAAAAATTTCTGGGGGGGAATGCCCCCAGACCCCCCTAGAATTTTCCTCTTTTTTCGGGAAACCTGCTCACATCCCTGAGGTTTGTCAGCAGTACACCATACACATGCTCTTGGGTTTCAGCAAAGTGGTAAACGTCAAAGTCTGTTAGACCTAAATTACTTCCGGCAGGTTTTCTGCTGACTGTGGCAATAACACAAGTCTTCGTTCAGGAACCAGGTTTAATCACCATAACAGCAGTTGTCCACACAAGAGTGCGCTGGTGCCATCTGCTTGAAATCAGAAGCTTGCTACAGAGAGTTATCTCCCCTATAAAGTCTTTGGCTGAGGCCGATCAAAGGTTGGGGCCCATTTAGGGTTTAGCTAATACCACGCTGACAGGCCATGATATAACTGAAATACTGTTCAAAGAGGGGTTCAACCAAACTCGCCTTCTCACTCAAAAGAATCGAAATATATGGCCAAAGGTGGATGCTCACACTATTGACCAGTGGTTGACCTGCTCCAGACATTAACACAGACGTGGAAGAATGCGGACATAATCCTTGTAATAATCGTCATTCACTCATACCAATAGTTCTGACATGGATCGCAAGGTCAATGACTTGGCTTCGTCCCTTCCCTGTTCTTTTAACAGTCTAAACAGTTGCAACTGAACTTAGTCCAAATGTCACTTATTTCCATAATTAACCGGGCGTTCTCAAAATAGACATGATAAATTGTTTCAGGAAAGTAAAATGTACATCGTTCGTACTACTGTCATGACAACGAGACAGATGTGACACTTTTATATCCGACGTGAGACAGCCCTAGTGACAGATGTAGGTTATGTGAGGAAACGACTTTGCCGAGGCCGCTCAAGTGTTTCCTTGCGGTCAGCGCACATATGTGTTGGTATAACTTGTTAAGCCCAACGGGCCCGTTTCATAAAGCGATCTTAGCGCTACGACGCAAGTCTATGTTAAAGTATGAGCAAGACGATCCTCGTAGTGCTAAGATGGCTTTGTGAAACGTTGCCCAGTTCTCCATAAAACGTACAGCTGACAGTTTGTCTGCAAGCAACTGACATTTGTCATCTTCCCGAGGCAAGAATGTTAACTGACTGTGAAAGTCCAGTTTGACTTTAGTCAGTAACTCCTGTTGTCTGGAAGATGGCGTTTTTTGAAGGCAGACGCAATCTCTCATCCGGGTACCTGGGTCGTTGTTCGGTCTTGATGGGATATGCACAAGCTGTAACATGAACGATACTGGTGATGAATATCGTTATCTGTAACATGAACTATATTGTGATGAATATCGTCATCTGTAGCATGAATGATACCGGTGATGAATGTCGTTATTTGTAACATGAATGATACCGGTGATGAGTGTCATTATCTGTAACATGAACGATACAGGTTATGAATATCACTGTCTGTAACATGAATGATACTGGTTATGAATATCGGTGTCTGTAACATGAACGCTATTGGTGATGAATATCGCTATTTGTAACATGAACGATATTGGGGATGAATATCGCTATTTGTAACATGAACGATATTGGGGATGAATGTCGTTGTCTATAACATGAACGATCCTGGTGATGAATATCGTTATCTGTAACATGAACGATACTGGTGATGAATATCGTTATCTGTAACATGAACGATACCGGGGATGAATATCGTTATCTGTAACATGAACGATACCGGGGATGAATATCGTTATCTGTAACATGAACGAAACTGGTGATGAATATCGCTGTCTGTTATCGCCGATTTTTCTGACTCCACACCTCGTATCTATTGATAAGATCCAAATATATACAAGTTACACTCAAAGTTAATACGAATGAAGCCCGACAGGCCCAGTCGTTGTGCAGAGTTGCGTCCCTTGGGCACGCCAGAAACATATAATCGGTTCGAATCTCTGTTGGCACCGAATATGTTTCTAGGTTAGTCGGCACCAAACCGTGCGCGAGGGTTTCATCAAAGTAGTGAGCGTATTAGACTTGTATCACCTCGGGCTTTCCCCTTACATCAAGTTGACACGCCGTGATATAACTTGAATATTGTTCAAAGCGTCGTTAAACCCTGCTCACCCACTCACTAATAACAATGAATTATCAATCTTGCGCAAATTGTCAGAACTGCGCAAGCAGATCGTCTGTTTTAAACTAATCATTTTACAGTATTTTACAGTACTTTTGTGCACGTTTACAATTAATGATTTCAATCCCGCATCCAGTTCTT